ATGATGCTAGTATTGTTATCCTGCTTTAGTTTGGTTTGTGTTTGCTTAGTATCTTTTAAGACACACTGTCTTTTTTTTTTTTTTTTTAAGATTTTATTTATTTATTTGACAGAGAACGCAAGTAGGCAGAGAGGCAGGCAGAGAGAGAGAGAGAGAAGCAGGCTCTGCACTGAGCAGAGAGCCCGATGTGGGGCTCGATCCCAGGACCCCGGGATCACGACCTGAGCCGAAGGCAGAGGCTTTAACCCACTGAGCCACCCAGGCGCCCCTCTTTTTTTCTTTTTAATTGTACATTACATAAAATGTACCACTTTAACCAATTCAGTGGCATTTTACAATTTATTGACATTGAGTACATTCACAGTATAGTGCCAACATCATCTTTATCCATCTTTTGGAATGTCTGCATCATCCCATACGGAAGATCTAAGCTCTTTGCCACTGTGAGTTTGTCTATTCTAGGTACCTCTTATAAGTGGTCCTTTTGATGGAAATACTGTCTTTTAATGGGAAAATTTGTTGAGTTCATATTTAATGCTATGACTGATTTTCTTGTTTCTAAGTTTCTAACTTTATCACTTAGTAGATATTCTTGTTTCTTCATTTTTTGTTTTTGTTATTTTTGTTAATCTGAAAGTTCACTTCCATTAGTGGTTACTTTCCTTTTTCTCACTCTGCATCAGAGGCAAATAGTGTTACTATTACTCAAAAGCAAAATAACTGTTTTTTTATACCAGGGTTACACTTTTCTCTTTTACCTTCTTTGTATCCTTCTTTGTACCCAACCCTTTTCTCTATTGCCTTAAAACCTTTGAAGAACCATGGGGCACCTGGGTGGCTCAGTGGGTTAAGCCTCTGCCTTTGGCTCAGGTCATGGTCCTGGGGTCCTGGGATTAAGCCCCGCATCAGGCTCTTTGCTCAGCAGGGAGCCTGCTTCCTCCTCTCTCTCTCTGCCTGCCTCTCTGCCTACTTGTGATCTCTGTTAAATTAAAAACAAAAACAAAAACACCTTTGAAAAACCTTTACTTTTTTGCTTTCCCACCCCTCCCCCCTTCCTGATTTTTCTAATATCGTTAAGTAGTTAAAAAGAAATTCTCTTGCAACATGCCCTTTTTTAAAAAAGCACTTTGGTTGGGGTGACTGGGTGGCTCAGTTGATTTAGCATCTACCTTTGGCTCAGGTCATCTCAGCGTTCTGGGATCGAGCCCCACCTCAGGCTCCCTGCTCAGCGGGGAGCCTGCCCCTCCTGTCTGCTCCCCCAACCCTGCCCCTGCTTGCTTGCTCCCTCTCATGCTCTCTCTCTCAAATAAATAAAATCTTAAAAAAAAAAAAAGCACTTTGGTCATATATTCCAAGGGAATGTATTTTTAACCATTCAGATTTAATTTCATACATTTATTGCTTGCTGTTACTCCTTCCCTTTATATTAAAATGCCATTTGATATAACAGATTAAGTACAGGACCTAGAACTACATGCACCTATTATGGGTAAATACCAGAAGCAGTGTTGAGTGAAAAAAATCACTCAAAAAAACTATTATTTGATACAATTTCTTTCTTTTTTCTTAAGAGAGGGAGAGGGGCGCCTGGGTGGCTCAGTGGGTTAAAGCCTCTGCCTTCGGCTCAGGTCATGATCCCAGGGTTCTGGGATCGAGCCCCACATCGGGCTCTCTGCTCAGCAGGGAGCCTGCTTCCTGCTCTCTCTCTGCCTGCCTCTGCCTACTTGTGATTTCTGTCTTTCAAATAAATAAATAAAAATCTTTAAGAGAGGGAGAAGGGAGGAGAGGTAGAGAAAGAATCCTTTTTTTTTCCCCCTTTAAACATTTTATTTATTTGACAGAGAGAGCACACTCAGGGGGAATGGCAGGGAGAGGGAGAAGCAAGCTCCCTGCAGAGCGGGGAGCTCGAAGCAGCTTTGATCCAGGGATCCCAGGACCTTGAGATCATGACCTGAACCTAAGGCAGAGGCTTAACGCACTGAGCCACTGAGGTGCCCACCAGGAGAGAGAGAATCTTAACCAGGCTCCACACCCATCTTAAGAGTCAGATGCTTTCCGAGTGAGCCACCCAGTCACCCGTGTTAGATACAATTTCTGTGAAGTTCAGAAATTCTCATAGTCCGTTGTAAAACTTGAAAAATAATAACAGGTTCAGTCTTCTTCTGGGGAGGGTGGAAGAGAGTAGGATCAGGGAGAGGAGCACAGAGGCATTAACATAGGGTGTTTATTAACCCGTTACCATGGGGTATTACCGTAATCCATTCCTCAGGTATGTTATTATAAAATGTTTCAAAATGTGTGTGAAGATTGACCAGGAGACTTGACAAGGTCTTTTGTGCAATGGTGAGTAGTATTGTGTTTTGAATAAGATTGAGTGTAGTGAGGGCATTCTTTCCTGACGTAGCAACACCTCGGAGTACCTGGAGGTTGAGAAAAGGGGGCTGGAGATGTGCTAAGTCACTCATGACCGTAACTCCCCCCGGGGGATTGATCCTGTGTTCTTCACCACGCCATGCCCTCTTGCCTTACGGGATTCAAGCCGCCTTTTAACCCTTCTGACATGCATACCTGGCGGTACTTGGAGTGTGGCATGGCTTCCAGGGTGGCCCTGTTTCAAAGTGGCATCAGACTCCTCTGCTGCATGACTTTTGCCCCAAAACCCCCGGTAATAGCATTATCAGGTTTTCTTAGAACTGCCTGACGGCCTGACGCTCTGCATACCCGGATGTCCTTTTGTTCTGCCCTACGGCGATCAGACTGGTTTTGTGGGCTTCTCACAGTACACTTCCCATTTTCCCTCACCTCCATTTCCCTCCATAAATCTCTTGCCTGTCTAATCCCCTCCGCTTCTGGCGAGCCCTACACGGACCTGAGTCACTCTGCAAAGTGCCTGCCACGTGGTGAGTGGTCAGTGCCTGTGGGGGGGTTGTTTGTTGTTTGTTTTAAGATTTTATTTATGTGAGAGAGCACATGAGAGGGGAGAGGGTCAGAGGGAGAAGCAGACTCCCCATGCAGCTGGGAGCCCGATGTGGGACTCGATCCTAGGACTCCAGGATCATGACCTGAGCCGAAGGCAGTCGCTTAATCCACTGAGCCACCCAGGCGCCCAGCCTGTGTTTGTTAAAGTGAGAGGTGGTGGTGATGGGGACTCTGGTAGTCGTAGAGGATGCCCATGTCCAAAGTGGAGAGACGTTTAGGGGATGGACACAGCAGGACTGTGACTGAATGTGGTGTGTGGGAGGGAAGGGTTAGTGTGCTCCATTTCTTGCTTACCGCTCCCCCCTTCACACGCAGAGCATGCCGGTTTGCTTGTATTCACTGCCTGCGGCTCGGCGGTCCCCAGTTCTGTACTCATGCTCCTGCTTCTCCATAAAATCTCCTTCCCCCACGCCCTCTTACCTTTGCCTGGCAAACTCCTGCTTGTTCTTTGAGATGAAGCTCAGGAAACCAACTCTTTCAGGGAATCTCCCCCTTCCCTCACTGCCTCTCAGCCTCTCCCTTCAGCTCTCACCCTGCCTGGGTTCCAGAACCATCTTGTGTTTCTATGCATGGGAGCCGTGCACTGAATTACAGGCAGCCTGTTTTTGTGTCATGTTCTTCTAACTTCTGGATTCCTTTAGTCATGAGCTGAGATTGCAGAGGTGTCAGCTGCCCGCTGTGTAGTTTACTCGTAGGTCGGTGGGAAGCCATTGGAGCTTTATACAGAGAGCGAACAGGATGTGATTTGTTTCAGAGCCTCACTTTGGCTACTGTTTGTGGAAAGGTTGGTTTGGAAAAGTGCAGGAGTAAATTTGGGGAAATGGTTTTGGGAGTCCCCCCTGCCCGGCTCCTCTGGACGCCAGCCGAGCTGTCCCAGTTCCACTGCATACTGGCTTTGTAACTTAGGAATGTTCCTTAACCTTTATTTGCCTCAGTCTCCCCATCTGTAAAATGGTGATAAAAATGGTACTCCCTTCAGAGTTGTGGTGAAGGGAGTTTAAATGAATGTGTTTTAAATGAATTAAAACAGCTTAGAATAGTAACTGGCACATAGTAAACAATCACATGTTATGTATTGTTTGTTATTCAGCAAATACTTGTGTTCGCTGCGTACTAGGTGGTGAGCAGAGAAACCACTCTTAAGCTGAAAGTTCAGTTTAACCAGAGACAAAAGCAAGTTCAAATGAATAATATGCATACTTTGAGTTACAACGATGTCCCTGAGAATCCGGACTTAAACTATTTGGCTGTTGTTACAATGTTATGATTCCAGAGATCTCTTATTTTGATTTCTTTGGCATTTTTTTTTATAGCAGGGGTCCCATTAGGTACTGTATGAGTCACTGGGGAGCATTTTTTAAATAAAAGCATCCTTGATAATAAGACTCTATCCTTTTGTTAGGAGTTCACCCACTCTGTAACTTGGTAATTAAGAAATTAGTTTTTGAACATGTTTTATTACTGTTAAATATCTATACTGTCAACTCCATAAGTTCAGAGGTTTTCTATCTCAGTTTAGGGGAGCTTTTGTTTTTGTTTTGTGTTTTAAATAAAGGAGATACGGTAGTAATTCATGTGTAAATATAACAAATATATGGGGGAAGTTAAGAGATTTGCTGATATTTAAATGACTGATTCTTTTTAAAGAGAATAGTTTACATATATTGTAAAAAATTAAAATAATATAAAGAAATAAAATAATTCATACTTTACATGAGAAACTAATTGATAGTGGTTAACCAGGGGGTGTGGGATTTGAAGATGGAAGGATGCTTTTATAATTAAAGATAAACAGTAAGTAGAGATTTAAGGAGGAAAACAATGACAAAGAAAGTAAAAGTAGAAACAAATTTGTGTATTAGATAACTTAACAAAGAACTGTGGTTCTTATGGATGGATTCTCCACCCTCAGCTGGGTGCAGCATGGTCGGCGGAAACTGTATTCCTACAGAACTTGCTGGGAGTTTTGTCTTTGTTCTTGGTCTAGTGTTCATTGCTGTTTACCTGCTTTATTTTTACAGGGATGTGCATGCGGTCTGTCTCTGGGATGATAAAGGTCCAGCAAAAATTCATCAGGCTTTAAAAGAAGATATTCTTGAGTTTATCAAGCAAGCACAGGCAGTAAGTTCTGTATCTTAGATTAAGTTTAAGATTTAGAGAATATCCTATTTTCTGCTGTAGGACTTCCAGAAATAATTTTAAAATATCACATTGACTTTTGACATTTGCTAATTAAATTTTTTTAAAGTTTATTTATTTAAGCAATCTCTACACCCAACATGGGACTGGCTGAGTCACCCAGGTGCCCGTATTTTATTCTTTTTGATGCAGTTGTAAATGGGATTGTTTTTAAAATTTTTTATTTTTGATAGTTTAAGTGTATAGAAATGCAACAGATTTTTGTATATTGATTTTGTATCATGCGTCTTTACTAAATTCATTTTTTCTCACAGTTTTTTGGTAAACTCATCATCATTTTCTCTATCTTATGTTAGTTGCAAATAATGATGGTTTCACTTTTTTTTTTTTTTTTTTTAAACTTCTTCCTTTTTGACTTGGATGTCTTTTCTTTTTCTTGTCTGATTGCTGTTCCAGTAGTGTGTTGCCTTTGCTAAAGGCATACAAGTAGCGTTCTTGTCCTGTTGCTGATCTTAGACTTTCATTTTAGCTGTGGTTTGTCATGTATTGCTTTTATTATGTTGAGGTACATTCCCTTTATCCCACTTTTTAAGAGTTTTTATTGTAAATTGATGTTGAATTTTGTCAAATGCTCTTTCTGCGTCTGTTTGTGATGATCACGGGCTTTTTTTTACTTTGCTTTGTTGCTGTGGTGTTTCACGTGGATTCACTCGTGGATGTTGAACTAACCAAGCTTGAATCCCTGGAATAAATCCCACTTGCTCATGATATATGGTCTTTCAATGTCTGCTGAGTTGGTTTCCTAATATTTTGTTGAGAAGTTTTGCATCTGTGTTCTTTAGGGATATTGACCTATAATTTTCTTCTTTTGTGCCATCCTTATCTGATTTTGGTATCAGGGTAATACTGACTTCTTAAATGAGTTTGGAAGTGTTTGCTTCTCTTCTGTTTTTCGGAAGAGTTTGAGAGGGATTGGTATTACTCCTCTTTAAATGTTTGATAGAATTCACTGTCGTTGCCGTTTCGTCCTGGGAATATAGTTTGCTGGGAGGTTTTTCATTACTGACTCAGTCTCCTTGCTTGTAATTGGTCTGTTCAGGTTTTCTGTTTCTTCATAATTTAGTCTTAGTAGGAGTATGTTTCATGGAATTTATCTGTTTCTTCTATGTTGTCAAATATGTTGCCAGATAATTGTTTATAGGTGTCTCTTATGAACCTTTGTTGTTGTTTTTTTTGTTTTGTTTTGTTTTTGTTTTTTGTAGGTTAGGCTCCACACCCAAAGTGGGGCTTGAATTCACAAACCTGAGATCAAGAGTTGTATGCTTGGGGCGCCTGGGTGGCTCAGTTGATTAAGCATCTGACTTTGAGTCAGGTCATGATCCCATGGTCCTGGGATTAAGCCCCGCATTGCACTTTCTGTTCAGCGGGGAAGTCTGCATCTCCCTCTCCCTCTGCCCCTCCCCTCAACTCATACTCTTTGTTTTCTCTCTCAAATAGATAAAATCTTTAAAAAAAAAAAAAAAAAGAAAGAAGAAAGAAAGAGAAAGAGTTGCGTGCTCTACCAGCTGAGGCAGCCAGGAGCCCCAGTCCTTTGTATTTCTGTGTTAGCAGTTGTAATGTCTCCTATTTCATTTCTGATTTTGTCCTCACTTTTTTTCTTGCTGACTATGGACAGGTTTTTTATGAACTTCTTTTGGGATGTAGGTATTTATAGCAGCATTTTTCATGATAACCAGTGGCTGGAAACAACCCACAAGTCCATCAGTGGACACAACAGATAAACAAAGTGTGGTGTATCTATAAATGGTATAGTGTTCGGCCATAAGAGGAATAAAGTATTGATACATCCTAGGACTTGAGAGACCCTTGAAACTGTAAAATGAAAGACGCCAATTTTAAATGTCTACATTTTATAGGGGCACCTGGGTGCCTTAGTCGGTTAAGCTTCTGATTCTTGATCTCAGCTCAGGTCTTGATCTCAGGGTAGGATCAAGCCTGGGTGAGGCTCTGCACTAAGCTAATGGTGGGCTTGGTATTCCCTCTCTCCCTGCCCCTGCTCATGTACATGTGCTTCCTCCATCCCTCCCTGCCCCCACCCCCCCAAATAAATAAATAAATAAAATTTTAAAACAAAAATGTCTGCATATTACATGTTTCCATTCATGTGAAAGTCTGGAACAAGCAAGTGTATAAACCCTGAAAGTAAATTAGTGGTTGCTAGGGCCAGGGAGGGGATGGATGGGAACGGTAGTTATGGGAGGATAAAAACGTGATCACTTAAGGGATATAGGGTTTTAGGAGGTTTTTTTATTGAGATATAGTTGACATAAAACATTTCTTTAGTTTCATGTGTACATTATGATTTTATGTATGTACCAACATGATTGTCACAGTAAGTCTTTGTGAACATGTTTTAATTTCTCTTGGATATAATATAGTTTGTACAATAAATGTATTTATAGCATGAATAGGTTCTGTTATTCTTTCAAGCACCTACCTGTATATATTTCAAGTTCATACAATTCTTTTTATTTTTTCCCAGCGAGTGCTGAGCCATCAAGATGATACAGCTTTGCTAAAGGCATACATTGTTGAATGGCGAAAATTCTTTACACAGTGCGATATTTTACCGAAGCCTTTTTGTCAGCTGGAGATTACTTTAATGGGTAAACAGGGCAGCAATAAAAAATCAACTGTAGAAGACAGTATTGTTCGAAAAGTAAGTTAATTTTTTGCACTTTTGACCCTAATATTCTTCAGAAAGAGGGCGATTTTACAACTTTAGAAAGTAATTCAGACTTTCAGTGGTTTTTTTCTACTTGATGTATAAATCCCTTCTCGACTGCTGCTGGGTTTTACGGAATACCACTGACTTTGTCCCATCCACGTTCAGCCACGCTCCCCTGCATTACGTCACGTGGGTCTGTGTCCTCACATGCTACCACCTTGCTTCTCCTTTTCCTGGTTCTGTCTTCAGCATTGTTTCCTTCTTCTCCTTTGTACTGTTTCCTTCCTGTAGATTACTTTTTTTCCTCTTTCCAAAGTCTTTCATTAGGTTACCTTCTTGTATCTTTGTGTTTAATTGTGGCTAAACTGTTATTTTCATGATTTCCTTTTTCCTTGATTAGGGTTATCATGAACTGATTATGTACTGTGTTTATTTCCATATTTTTGTGTGGTTTCTAGTTAGAAGCTCTGTGTCCAGTAACTCCTCATGATTTAATGGAAAGAACTCAGCTTTGAAAGTAGAATCTCAGGTTTTCTTTTCAACTCTTCAATCAGTAATGACCTAAACTCTCTGTCCTCATTTCTCATATGATTTCATGTTTCTGAGAATGAAGTGGAAACGTAGATTTGAAAAGTAAAAAAGTGAAAAATGCCTCTTGAACTTTAAGCAGCTTGCTACTTGCTGTGATGGTTATGGCAACAAAGCAGGTGTTCAGATAGTGGCGTAGGCATTCCTGCCCCTCCCCAGCTTCTAAACTTCGTGCTGATGTGGACAGGGATGTTGTGAATTTAGACACCCAGGGGTCCTCTGGTGGCAGAAATGACTGCAGTGTGAGGCATTATCCCCCTCCCCACAAAAAAAAAAAAAAGAAAACACTTCTAGATGCTTTTTAATTTGCAGTTTCGTAATCTTGTCCTCTCTTGTTTTTCTGTTACTCTTTTAATTTATACCATTCCCTACTGATTACAGGAATCAGCATCACTTAATGATTAAGAGCATAGATTCTGGGACCAGACCTGTTGGATTCGCATCCCACTGTTGCCGTTTATGAGCTGTATAAGTGTGGGGAAGCTTGCTTTCCTCTCAGCACCCCACTACATTTCTAAAAAGGGAGATAACAGTACCTCTTTATCGGTTTGAGGATTAGATGAGTGTGGAAAGTCCTTAGAGCAGTTCTGGGTGCGTAGTGACTGTCACATACCTGCTTATGTCATCACTTGTGCGATGCTGTTGTCATTAATATAGTTTCTGTATCTGACACAGTTTCTTGGAATGATAATACATGGTGGATGTGTATATAAACATCATCATTTAAACTGAACATCTGTCAGGTGGATTTGTATTTTTTTTTTTTTTTAAGGTCCAGAAAACGCAGGTTTTCATTTGGTGCTTTTTGCATTTATTATGTGTTTATACAAACATGTACGTGAGCATTCCAAACACCACTAGTACTGAAATTTAACCCTCTAACTGTAGGAGAGGTAACCTTTTCCATGTTTTGCTATATTTAATTTTTACAACAACCACTTGAAATTTGTATTATTATCTGTCCTGTTTTACAGAGGGGAAACCTAGTAAATGAGTAGCAGAGCTGAAGTTCAAGTCCAGTTACGTTGGTTTTGAAATTTGTGCTAACAGTTACCATGTGTTTCTTACCAAACTTAAATACACTAGTTCCTCAAGCGTTCAAGTGAATATAAACTAAAGAATTAGATTTCCTTTTTTAGTGCTTATAGTTAAATTTTTTTGTGTCTGTATGTGTCTGGTATATTAATAATCGAGATGATTGCATATTTCTTTTTTTCCTAGCTCATGCTTGATACATGGAATGAGTCCATTTTTTCAAATATAAAAAACAGACTCCAAGATAGTGCAATGAAGCTGGTACATGCAGAAAGATTAGGAGAAGCTTTTGATTCTCAGCTGGTCATTGGAGTAAGAGAATCCTATGGTATGTTCTGAACTTTTGTGATCATAATTTTTTTATGAAAATTCCAAGACCATTACAGAATAGTATGTTTGGAGTTATGTGTGCTCTCAAATAGTCACATCTACTCTTAGTGCCAGTGCTTTTAAGAGCCCGGAGAAGGTATTAAGTATCTCCAAGAAAATACAGAAAAATCCATATTTGTGTGGTTAATACTGGTTTTCTCCATCTCACTCATTTCTTGGCTGGTGAATCCTTTTAGTGACCTAAATTAGAGAAATGTAGATTTGAATCAGTAGCTCAGAAAAGGTGGTAACTGGTTTTGTACTTACATTTTCAGGAAGTACGTTTATTCCATGTACACATTCCTCTGTGAACTTTTCAGTTTCTGACCATGATATTCGCATTTGTTCTGTAAATCAGATACACTAATTTCCCTGAGAATACTCGTCCTCCAGCCTTCCTTGTAGGTCATCCTCACCCTGTTTGCTGGCAGAGGCCTTTCCTGATCTCCAGACTGGGTCAGGCCTCTCTCGCACTGCTTCCTGGTACTGGTGACTCCCTGTCATCATATTTTAGCTAACTGTGTTGTTGACACTGTAGCTTTACTGAACATAGAACGTGGGCACAGAGTATGCCTCAGTAGGAATTTGTTGTATTAATGAACCTTCAGTTGTCTCTGATTGGCTCTCTCTGTTGCCCCCATGTTTCTTTAGGTATCAAAGTCTGTAGGCTTTTGTTAGCTGTGTTGTTGAAATTTATTCCTTCTGATTTCAACTACCACTGTTTATACCGTGTAAACTCTGCTTCCGGACTTTTGAAACCGTCTTCTTCTAGTGATCTTACCACTATCATTTAACCCATAGACTGTTCACAAGATTAATTTTTAAGTACTATTTTGTTAGTATTTTTCTTACCATTCAGTGGCACACGATGCTGAAATCAGGTCGCGTCGCCTGAGAGCCGCAGCTGTCCACAGCCGCTCTAACTTCCCATTCCACCTTGCTTTCCTCTCACACAGCCTGGTTGTTTTACCCTAACTTGGCCTTGTGATTTTGTACTTCCCAATATTTACCTACTATACTAGCTTCTGTGTAAGTTCTAGTTTTTCCTTAAGACTCATCTCACATCCCGTCCTGGCTATGAATAGTTTCTTGATCATCTCGTTGGAAGTCACTCTCCCTCCTACTCAGAAATACTGTAGCCCGTGTTGCTTGTACTGTCTATCACTTCAGTGCCTTGTGCTGTTACCTTTATAATATAGTCTCTTACAGAGAAGGATTTTCTCTTGCGTGATTTATGTTCTCTCGAGCATTATCCGAGTGCCTTGCCCATAATGACTCCTTACTATTTGTTACTTCGTTTATTGTACTCAAAATACTGATTTGAAACATAATTAGAGTAAAATTTTATTTTCTGTTTTTCAGTTAACCTTTGTTCTAATCCTGAGGATAAGCTTCAAATTTATAGGGACAATTTTGAGAAGGCATACTTGGATTCAACAGAGAGATTTTATAGAACACAGGCACCCTCGTATTTACAACAAAATGGTGTACAGAATTATATGAAATATGTAAGTCAGAACTTAGTATATGTGATAATTTGAGCTCTTCTCTTGATATTCTTAAAAAATGATTGCTATTTTGCTTCTGGGCAGGCAGATGCTAAATTAAAGGAAGAGGAAAAGCGAGCACTACGTTATTTAGAAACCAGACGGGAGTGTAACTCTGTTGAAGCAGTAAGTAACTGTGTGATTGTGTGTTCTTGGAGATTATTTCCAGCACGGTGGCCCAGGGATGGCAAATACGTGATCTGAGTGTTCTTACTCACGCTTCGCACGCCTCTGAGTGACGTGACTGACGCAGTGAGTCCTCTCGCCCGTGCGCCCAAGCACAGCCGGCCAAGTGCCTGGTGCAGAGCTCAGTCATCATTCTTTGGAGCTGACGTGCAAGAGATCTATTTGCCATCCCTGCTCTAGACTTTACTGCATTTAATGTACTTAATTTTTAAAACGTCTCCTTCTATTATGTTGTATGTGTATCTGTAGCTAACCATTTTGGTGATTTTCATGTTGCGAGTAAAATATGCTCCACAGAGATAAAGTTGTTTTTGTTATTCGCAGTGATTATGTTCCGTAAAGTGGCTGTGAACACTGAATTAGCACCAGTCGAATCATTACTTCTAGGGGATTTTTCTTCTTGTTATGGGAGGATGTTTTCAAACTTGTCATGAGGTAAAATATTACTTGATCAGGGAACATCAGTCTTTATATTGTTATTTTGTTTTTCTTTATACTTTAAGTTCCTTAAAAAACCAAACAAAAACTGATCAGAGGTAGTAGCCTTGCTACAGTATCTGTCCTAAGTGTTTTCTTACGGAGAATGACCTAAATGTGCTGTAGTCAGGAAAACAGAGAGTCAGGCTTACCGAGAGTCTGGGAAATGGCTCACATATAGCAATGGTGTTTCTTCTAATTCCCTTCAGCCTTTGCAGCTTAGGGACTAGATGTAGATTTACATTCAGGGAGGCGACGTTCCTGTTTGCCTGTGACCATTTTCGAACTCTGGATGGATTTATTTATTTATTTGCTTCTGACTATTCTTTGGCTCTTCCGTCTTGAATGATAGTCGTGTTTATGCCTTGTTGAGAAAACAGGTTGAGTTGGAATTCCCTCCTCACCCACTTTTTTTTCAGTTTGTCTTGCTTTGCGTAACTTACAGTATATTTCCTCTTCTAGTGGAGAAAATAACTTTGATGTTGGCTAGAAAAGAGGGCTACTTTCGTGGCTGTTTATAGAAATTCTCTGTAGAAATATAAAGCCAGGCTTGGACTTCATCCAGAATGCAGGGAAAGGCCATTGAGTGTTTTTTAAGCAAGTGTACCATGCTCAGAGTTATCCCTCCGGTGGGGGGGTTAGTCTGGTGACGGAATGAAAGATGAATTGGGCTCGGGAAGAGAGAAGAGGAGAAGGTATCGGGGTTTTGCAGTGATTCATGCAGGGGCTTAGGAGTACCACATAGGATTATAGCAACTGGGATGTAGCTGAGAAGAGGAGAGAGGTGAAGAAGTTCCACCCAGAGGTGGAACCTGGGGTCATATGGGTGGGGCTGGATGTTCAAGGGAATGGAGTCCTAGTGTTTCCCGAAGCCTGGCTCCAGGGAGGTCGGGTGGAAGAGTTAAGTCCCAGTCCCAAGGGAGAAGTAGGAGTTAGTGAGAGGAGTTAGAGTTGATCCATGTGCCCACAGCATTTGGGTGGGGATGTTGCCGTTTCAGTAGCATACAATTGTTGTTTTTCTCCTCTAATTTATACGACTTACAGTTGTATCATATCCATGTGAAGATAGATGTCTGACTAAGAATAAGAGAAAGCAAGAAAAAGAGGATGAGAAATGGTAGAGATAATCGAATACACATGACAGTTGGTATAGCACATGTGAGCTTCCCTTTCTACTTCATTTATTTTTATTATTTTTATTTTTTTAAGATTTTTATTTATTACTTGAGAGAGAGTGAAACCAAGAGAGATCACAGAGCGAGAGGGAGAAGCAGACTTGCCGCCAAGCGGAGAGCCCAGTGCAGGGCTTGATGCCAGGACCCTGTGATCATGACCCCAGCCCAAGGCAGACCCTTAACCAACTGAGCCACCCAAGAGCCCCTCCCTTTTGACTTTAGAATACACGCACGCAGGAAAAGTTAACATAGATGATGTGAATTTGCTTTTCCACAGTTACCAAATTGTGTGAGCATCTTATCAAGCTGAATGACTTTAGGGCTCTGAAGATAAGTTTTTTTGTTACTGTTTTCAACAGAGAGACCATGAGTGTAATACAGCATGCTTCCAAAGAAACTCTACTTTATTTGGAATGTAGGAGGTCTTTTTGTGTGGTTTGTTTTTATTTTGTTTTGACTTTCTGCTTATTTTTAAAAATTAACTCTTGACTCAAGTATTAAGATATAAACAGGAAAGTGCACAGAAATCTCAGGTATGCATTCTTAGAAAGTGAGAATACCTATAAAATCACCATAACAAAAATTACTAGCAATTCAGAAATCATTCATCATGCTCCCTCCGAATTACTCTCACAGTCTTTTTCTTCAAAGGTTATCACTCTCTTAACTTTTAACAACATGGACTAATATGTAGTTTGCACAGCAATATTTAGTTCAGAGGAGAAATCAAGTACCAAAACTGTAGGATTAATTATAACATTGGGAATTTCAGATTTAATGAAGATGCTTTACTGTTTATATACCTCAGTGAGCTAAGGTCCTTATACTTTGTATATAACCTTTATTATATGTATTTGTTGATTTATAGTTACTGTTTTCAGAGAGAAATGATACATGTTAAAATGAAGTATGTTGTGATGGAAAGAACAATAAACCAAAAAAGTCACCAAGTACTGATATAAAGTATCAACAGCATTATTTGAATAGTTAGTAAGAAGCAAGTCACTTTCCATACCATACCCTGTTCAGAACAGACTTACTGTCTTAGATTCTCTGAGAAGAATTATTGGCCATCAGAACATGCATGGTGGGGCGCCTGGGTGGCTCAGTTGGTTGAGCGACTGCCTTCTGCTTAGGTCATGATCTTGGAGTCCTGGGATAGAGTCCTGCATCAGACTCCCAGCTCCACAGGGAGCCTGCTTCTCCCTCTGACTTTCTCCCCTCTTATGCTCTCTCTCACTCTTTCTCTCTCTCTCTCTCAAATAAAATAAAATCTTTAAAAAAAAAAAAGAACATGCAATGGTATATACTTACCTGTTAGACTGTTTTTATTAATGGAGGGTAGTTACGGTATAGGGAAGATATATTTTACTGTTACAGTCCCTTCATAGGGGGCTATACTGTAATGCACATCAGAATTTAAGATTTAAATCTGTATGTTTTTTGGCATTTATGTTTTTCTCTGTAAATTAGCAAATTATTATGGTAAATCAATTATCTTCTCTGTATTTAGTTGGTATAAATCAATACCAAGTTTTTAAACTTGACCAGTTTTTAATATAGGCAGAACAAGTTTTTGGACCTGTATTGTGTATAGTAGAGAAAATCTCACCTAGGTAGTACCCCATTGTGAGGCCAAGCCTCCTACAGGTCAGATGTACATTTCAAGTAATGTTACTTTCACACTAAGCAGCTCCCTGGATGCTTTCATTGTTTATCAGAGTTCTGTTATCTTGGGTATTCCAAGCAGCTGAGTACATCATTTGCAAATAATGATGCTTTTGCCTTTCTAATACTAATATTTCCTATTTCCTTCAGTAGACTAAATCTGTTAATAGTTTTGGGGGAAAATGTTAAATATGGGGGATCCTTGCTTCTGCAGTCTTTGATGGGAATGCTTCCACATTTTCATCATTAAACACGTATTGGATTTTGGCATAATTTATGCATTTTGTTATGTTGAGAAATTATTCATTTGTTCTTCTTCTATAAAGAATATAATCAGAAATGTATATACTTTAGTCCCAAAGCCAGTATATTATTTAATGAAGAAACACTAGAGTCATTTCCACCAAGATCTTGAACAAGGCTAGGATGCCCACTCTTTCTGCTGCTGTTTAACATCGTATAATAGGTATTAGCCTCCGCAGGTAGACTAGAGAAATCAATTGGAGGCATGAGAATGGGTGAGCAGAAGTAAAACCCTCAGTTTGGAGATGATATGATAGTATATTTGGAAAACTCCAGACAATCAATGATAAATGAACTCAAACAATAAAGCAATTCAGAAAAGTAGTTAAGATTTAAAATTAACATACAAAACCCAATAGTCTTCTTATACACAAATAATAAACAGGATATAATATTAAGGAAAACATCACTTATGGTAATAACAAAGAAAATTAAATTCTTGGGTATGAATTTAACAAGAAATTACCAAACCTGTAAGAGGAAAACTTTTTAAATGTTGAAAAAACACAGAAGTGACTTGAAAAAATGGAAAGACATCCCTTGTTCTTAAATTCTGTGACTTAGAGTTTATTTACTTATTTATTTTTTTAAAGATTTTATTTATTTATTTGACAGACAGGGATCACAAGTAGGCAGAGAGGCAGGCAGAGAGAGAGGAAGGGAAGCAGGCTCCCTGCTGAGCAGAGAGCCCCTGGGATCATGACCTGAGCAGAAGGCAGAGCCTTTACCCACTGAGCCACCCAGGCGCCCCTGTGACTTAGAGTTATAAAGATGTCAGTTCTTCCCTAAAGAACTTATAAGTTCACTGTAATGCCATTGAAAATACTAACAACTATTTAATAAAGTTAAGACAAGTTGATGTGAAAATTTGTGTGGAAAAATAAACATGTACGAATAGCCAGGAAAATACTGGAAAAGAAAAACTGTGTGGAGAAAGCCCTACCAGACATTCAAACATCCTCCATTAAATAGTGTGGTAATTACGCATGAATGGATAGTGGACCAGTGGGATGGAGTCGACAGTCCAGAATTCTGTGTGACAGGTTGGATCTCAAATCACTGGGGTATAAAGATAGACTTAAAAATACACTTAGAAGATGGTGTTGGGACAATGCAGTAGCCATTTGGAAAAAGATGATATTGTGTATTACAGCATTCGGAAGAATAAACACTAAATGGGTCAAGGATTGAAACGCTAAACATGAAATCATACAGGTACAAGAATGATTCCTTTTTTTAACCTTGGTGTAGGGAAAGGCTTTTTAACATGACTCAGAATTCAGAGCCAATAAAAGGAGAGATTGATGAATTTGACTA